AGAGGCTGAATCATCATGTTAATCACATAGCTATCATATGCCTCAAACAGTCCTGATGCTCTTCTAGGTAATCACACATCCTGTCATGTTCACAGCTACAGTTGGGATACCTTTGTTATCAAGTTACTCTCATGTTGGAAGAGGACATTCAGTATTTTCCCAACAATAATATGTATTTTTTCCTCCAGGGTATCCAGGGTAACATTGGACCATGGGGGGGGGTTGGGCCCCGCGGATCCTCTGGTGATCGGGGGCCACGAGCTCCAGTTGGTCTGCCTGGAGTAACAGGTTACCCAGTACGTTCATTTACACTTTACTTACAATACTTACTTTTTATACTGGAAGTCAATGGTTTTCTGAATGTGTTTTTGGTTGTTAGTGTGAAATAAGGTCTGTGGTTAGAACAAGCTGAAGAAATGTTAATTCTACAACATGAAATACGTCAGTAAATCCCCCACTGGTGGGGTTAAAAAAGGAGGCTGCTAACAAGAGTCTAAATGAGACGACTAAACGTCATCACGTCCAACATTAGCCGCCTTTAGCTTAGCGGTGCTGACGTGAAGTCAGGTGACCGTGCTGTAGCTCCTTTATAGAGAGGCGAAGTCCCTCCCTTTCCTCCATGAGACCTTATTTCTGAAAAAATATGCATTGAAGTCAATGGGGAGAGAAAGATTATCTTTCGATCCCGTTTGAATTGTGCCACGAATCACACACATGATGTTTGTCAATTTAAAAGATCATTTTGCCAGTAAAAAAAAAAAAATGTGTCGTAAAACTGTGAAGTAACACTTTTTTTGTGTGAAACGCTCAATGAACTCCATCTCCCGTCTCGCACCACACACCCAGACAGCCGTCACGTTGGAACATTTCACTTCTTTCTTTCAGAACGAGACGGAAAGTATTAAAAGAGGTGAAAATCACTCCAAGTCTGGGCACGTTGAGAGCTGCACATACACACAAGGGGAGTGAGTCGGTTCCGTGAGAGCCAGCATGCGGGACCGGGACTCTGGGATTTGTAGTCTTTCTAGTTGCGTATTTTTCATAGTCTTATATTTCAACAGTTTTACGACAAACTGTGACTTTTTTGACACGGAAATTATTTTTTAAGAATGACAAACATCATACGTGTAATTTGTGGCACAATTCAAACGGGATCGAAAGATAATCTTTCTCTCTCCATTGACTTCAATGCATACTTTTTCAGAAATAAGGTCCCATGGGGCGGAAGTAGATGGGCGTGACTTCGCCACTCTATAGCCCAATATTAGCCACCTTTAGCTTAGCGGTGGTGACGTAAAGTCATGTGACCGTGCTGTAGTTCCTTTATAGCCCAATAGCCGCCTTTAGCTTAGCAGTGGTGACGTGAAGTCATGTGACCGTGCTGTAGTTCCTTTATAGCCTAACATTAGCCTCCTTTAGCTTAGCGGTGGTGACGTGAAGTCATGTGACCGTGCTGTAGTTCCTTTATAGCCCAACATTAGCCTCCTTTAGCTTAGCGGTGGTGACGTGAAGTCATGTGACCGTGCTGTAGTTCCTTTATAGCCCAACATTAGCCACCTTTAGCTTAGCGGTGGTGACGTCATGTGACCGTGCTGTAGTTCCTTTATAGTCCAACATTAGCCACCTTTAGCTTAGCGGTGGTGACGTAAAGTCATGTGACCGTGCTGTAGTTCCTTTATAGCCCAATAGCCGCCTTTAGCTTAGCAGTGGTGACGTGAAGTCATGTGACCGTGCTGTAGTTCCTTTATAGCCCAACATTAGCCTCCTTTAGCTTAGCGGTAGTGACGTGACATCATGTGACGGTGCTGTAGTTCCTTTATAGCCCAACATTAGCCATCTTTAGCTTAGCGGTGGTGACGTGAAGTCATGTGACCGTGCTGTAGTTCCTTTATAGCCCAACATTAGCCACCTTTAGCTTAGCGGTGGTGACGTGAAGTCATGTGACCGTGCTGTAGTTCCTTTATATACCAACATTAGCCTCCTTTAGCTTAGCGGTGGTGACGTGACGTCATGTGACCGTGCTGTAGTTCCTTTATAGCCCAACATTAGCCACCTTTAGCTTAGCGGTGGTGACGTGAAGTCATGTGACCGTGCTGTAGTTCCTTTATAGCCCAACATTAGCCACCTTTAGCTTAGCGGTGGTGACGTAAAGTCATGTGACCGTGCTGTAGTTCCTTTATAGCCCAATAGCCGCCTTTAGCTTAGCAGTGGTGAGGTGAAGTCATGTGACCGTGCTGTAGTTCCTTTATAGCCCAACATTAGCCGTCTTTAGCTTAGCTGAGGTAACGTGAAGTCATGTGACCGTTTTCTGTAACTGTTTCTTTACTTTCTCTTCATTCAGGGTAAAGATGGGCCTCAGGGATCAGCCGGATCTTCAGGTGTCAAAGGAGACAAGGTAAAGCTTTTCTTACTCAGCTACTCTTAACATGCTGTAAACAATAGTAACCAGGGTTTGGAGGGTGACTTAAATTCAGTTAAAAAATGTAACTTTCAATCTAAAACCCTTAATGAAATGATTAATCTCTCTCTTGTTTCTGTCACTGTTTCAGGGATCTGAAGGGGTTTTGGGGCCGGAGGGAGTTGCTGGTCTCGATGGTGAGGAGGTAGATTGATGAAACTGTGTTTGTTACAGATTTTATTTAATTTAACTGAATTTAAAAGCAATTAATTATCTAAAAACACAGGATATAAGACCTATGCTTTCTGGTAATAACGTGCATTAGTAACCCGGTGTTTTTCCATTGTGTTCAGGGTCCAATGGGAATAAAGAGACCTGTGGGGCCAGCTGGACTAAAAGGCGTATCTGTGAGTAAATGGGTTGTTTTTTACTTTCAAAACAACCTCAGAAATGTGAGAATGATGCATGCTATTACACAAAAAAACTAAATAATTCAGCCCTTTATATTCAGTCCTTTCAGCAGCGACACCTGTGTTTTAATTTTTAACGAGCAGGTCAGAGAAGCTTCAGGTGTTACAGGATTTAATAAAATATGTCACACAGAGATTAACATATTTTAATCCCTGTACTGTATGTAGAAGGAATATTACTTTAGTTTGTTCTCCACATTTTGACTTTTGATTATATTTTTGATGGTAGAAACATGGCGTTAAACACTGCTTTCCTTCTGTTGTCCACATGCTGGTATTTAGACAGTCATTATGGGATGCATTGCATTACATTAATGCACACAATATAAACAATTATCTTGTTTTTCATTACTGCACACATTTTATTCCAATTCTATTTCTACGATTTCAATTATATTCAATGTAATAAATATTGCTATATTTTCTTAAACGTTGCTTTATTTCAGGGGGATAAGGGAAACTCTGGACCTCCTGGACAGAAAGGGCCAAAGGGAGATGAAGGGGAAAGAGGCAACCGAGGGCCACAGCGAGGAAAAGGGCCCCCAGGGAAACAGGTGGAGAATTACTTATTATTATTTTTGAATTGTGAACTCCGGTTAGGGTTGTTGTGGCAGCCATTTCGGCCAAATTCCAAACCACACCCTACCCACTCCCCCTTAGTGATGGAGTGAACTCCGTTTGTAGTCTCACTCGCAGCTGAACTCCCCTCGCTCTGGCAGAAACAGGTCACTTTTCGTAACAACGGTTTCAAAGCAGCATCTCTGTATACAAATAATATACAAAATAATATAAAAAATAAAATAAAAATCTTTAATGGTGTTTCTTTTTTTATTTTAAAATCAGATGTTTATAAGCTGCTTCGTTTTTGCAACAGTCCCTGCAAATACACACAACTTTATAATAAAATGCACAAATGTACCGTTTTCTAGACTAAACATGGGGACGTGTAATGTTTTCATGAAACTAGTGTAGCGGGGATCTTTTTACTGGGGGGACGCTATTTTAATTAGGTCATCCCAAACACATCTCCTCCGTCCATACCTCTTGAGCTAGCCAGGGGAACGTTGCTAGCGCAGCTAACGTGCACGTTAGCTAGCATTATCCACGTCTTTATGCGGCTCTTCTGATGATGTACTGTATGTAGTAGGCTACTACAAGCTTCACTTGTAGCTTCGGTGCTGCTAGCCTCTTTCTTCTTGTGAATTATATTCTTTTTAGAAAAGAAGTCAAGTAAAACATGTTAGCCTGCCATTATAGAACTTTTTCGTTAGCGTTCTTGGGGGAAAGAGATGCCGCAAAATCGGCGGGCGGGGTCAAATCATAATTTTTTAAGGAAAGTTTTTATTTTTATTATAATTATTGTGAAATGTATTATTTTGTTGTCATTATTACAACACATGCACACTTGCAACTGATAACACTGGCAATGATTTTATATTTATTAGACTATTAAAAAAAAGATCATGCTCCAAATAAGTGGGGGTACGGTGTACCCCCGCGTCCAACGCCCACTACACCACTGCATGGAACTATTTATAAACAGCTTGTTTCCTGACGGACACACAGCATTGGTCGGTCAGGTGGAGCAGCAGGGGAAGTCAGGTGATGCAGACTCTCTGATGGAGGGCTTGATAACCCACTGCCCCTCATCACTCGTTGGTTCCTCCACGTGAACGCGCAAACGGAGGGGTAGTGTGTAGGGGGCGGTTTGGAATTGAGCCTTACACTATAAATCCCCCACCTGCAGAAGACCCACTGGGTTCTGTTCAGAGCAGTTTGCAGGCTGGTAGGAGTGGCCTTTTGCAATTGTAATGGCTTGAATATTGGCCCTGTGAAGACCTCAGAGTGTTCTAAAGAATTCAGACTTATACATTATACATTTCTTTAAAACATGTTGTTCATTCTTCATCTGCCAATCAGCTTGTTTCTGCCTCAGTGTGACCAAGATTCCTCTCAACGAATACACACCTGTTTGCAGCAGAAAGTCCACTGGATGGCAGCGAAAGCAATCCCCCAGTACACCATCCCAGTACCTCACCTTAACAAAATTGCTCTAATATATCTAAAAATATCCACCCCAAATTGCCATTAAATTATATTTAAGTATAATTGTTTACCTCCTTACGTCCTGACCATAACCCCCAAATATTCATTCAATTTTAAAGAATTGTAACTCTTTAAATCCAGTTGGTTTACATAATGCCAGTGTTTTTATGATTTAAAAAAACTATAAAACTAATTATTTTCTGTGTGTTAGACGGACTTCTTTGCACAGTGTGTGATATGTCGATGATAGGGAACAACACTCATTAAATGCATTTATTTGTTATGCAGGAAACCAGGAAACTAGCCTGTATTTCCTCAAAAGGTCAAAACGAAAAATGACTGGTTGGAAATAATACCAGTATAATCTGGAAGCCAGTAATTGTGGTTTTAATGGGAAGTTTCTGATCTTAAGTGGAGAAAAATTGCCATCAAATAATATTTAAGTATTCTTTTTGACCTCCTTACCATAATCACCAAATATTCATTCAATTTTAAAGAATTTGAACCTCAGTTAAATTAATGCACCAGCTCTTACAATGGTCTGGCTTTCTGCATGTTTCTTCTACTTCAGCATTTGTATCTTTATGGTTAATTGCACTTATTGGAAGTGGATAAAAGTGTAAGCTAAATGTCATTGAATTGAAGCCATAACGACTGTCACCCTCTCTTTCAGGGATCTCGGGGGTCACTTGGGGTCAAAGGAAGAGCCGGAGTGTCGGGACTGAAGGTCAGAAACTAAGAAATGTTGGATTCATCTGATGAACTAAAGTCTGCCAGGTTTGGTTTGTAGCTTCTGAAATGTGTGATGCTGTGTTCCTCAGGGTGAGCTCGGGACCAGAGGTTCTTTAGGGAGACCCGGTCAGTTCGGACCGGGAGGAAACTCGGGGTCAGCGGGGGTCAAAGGCCAGAAGGGGCTCCGGGGACACAATGTTAGTAACACCGTTTCATTATTACAGCGTCAATGTCAGCGTCAACACCTACCGTATTTACAATGTGGTTTTTATGTGGGAAGTATTGGAGTACAAATACTTTGTTACTGTACTTAAGTACATGTTTCTGGTATCAGTACTTTACTCCACTACTTATTTTTCTGACGATTTTTTACTTTGACTTCTTACATTTTGAACTCAAATACCTGTACTTTCTACTTCTCACATGTTGAACACAAATACCTGTACTTTCTACTTCTTACATGTTGAACTCAAATACCTGTACTTTCTACTTCTTACATGTTGAACACAAATACCTGTACTTTCTACTTCTTACATGTTGAACCCAAATACCTGTACTTTCTACTTCTTACATGTTGAACTCAAATACCTGTACTTTCTACTTCTTACATGTTGAACTCAAATACCTGTACTTTCTACTTCTCACATGTTGAACACAAATACCTGTACTTTCTACTTCTTACATGTTGAACTCAAATACCTGTACTTTCTACTTCTTACATGTTGAACTCAAATACCTGTACTTTCTACTTCTTACATGTTGAACACAAATACCTGTACTTTCTACTTCTTACATGTTGAACTCAAATACCTGTACTTTCTACTTCTTACATGTTGAACCCAAATACCTGTACTTTCTACTTCTTACATGTTGAACCCAAATACCTGTACTTTCTACTTCTTACATTTAGAACTCAAATACCTGTACTTTCTACTTCTTACATTTAGAACTCAAATACCTGAACTTTCTACTTCTTACATGTTGAACACAAATACCTGTACTTTCTACTTCTTACATGTTGAACCCAAATACCTGTACTTTCTACTTCTCACATGTTGAACTCAAATACCTGTACTTTCTACTTCTCACATGTTGAACTCAAATACCTGTACTTTCTACTTCTCACATGTTGAACCCAAATACCTGTACTTTCTACTTCTCTCATTTTCCAAACAGCTGGTTCCTTTAGTTTGAATGTGTGTTTGGTGGCGTGATCATTATTATCTTTTATTACATTGCTTAGTTGAATACTCGATTCTGATTGGTCAATTCAGAACATGTGACACGTTGTTAATCCAGTAGTACAGACCGCTGTCAATGATTTATTGACCGTTGTTAAGGACGCTCACATCTGCAGAAAGAAGTCCGGTCGATTGAACTGTATACAGTTTGCTTTTCGAACTGTTTGCTTGTCTTTAGTTTTCCGCTGTCTCCCGTCTGAGAGCAACCTGGAGGATTTTAATATTAATTTTAATATATTTGGAGAACACAGGATGAACGGTTAGTGGCTGATGAGTCCCCAGCGAAGAAAAGAAAAAGACAAGAGGGACAAGAAAACAGCGGAGAAGTAACGGGGCAGAAACCCTCCTTTTTACGCAGCGGTCCAGACATAGACATCAAACGGTGACACATATTCAGTTGGCAGTTCCTTTGGCATTAGGGCAGGGGTCTCTAGATACTTTCCAAGGTTTGACATCATGAAGTGTGCTACTTTTAAAGCAAGCAACGATGTTTTCAAATCTGTAATCAAAAAGCTCCTCAAAAGCGCTATGGAAGCAGTTCCTGCCGTTGCTACGTAGTTCAAACGGTAACAACGGACTATTTTTCTTAGCGGATGCATGTCAATTTAAATCAATACAACTATTTTTTAAATCAATAAAATCATTTTCTAAATCCATAAAAGCATTTCAATTAATATTGGGAGTCATGTCGTTACTTTGTTGAGAATGTGACCGTGTAATAAGCGGGATAATGTGCTTTGCGTCGGGTTCCCTGATCCGCCTGTCGGGTGCTCTTTTACCCACAATGACCGCCTCGCTGCACATCATCCCTTACTTATTATCTATCTATCTAATGTTTGGATGAAGCGTGTATTTTCTCAGTTACAAATGCCATGTGGTTACTAAAAGGTTTTTTCTATATTTAGTTGTGATTCAGATAATGTCTGAATGAAGAGATAGACCTGCTAGAAGGTGTACCATGTAGACCTGGTATGATTACCTAACTAATATCTATTTTACAACTTTTTTCATAATTCATTCAGCGTTGAGTGGCAAATAAATTGCAGAAAATGTTGTTTTCAGCCTTTAATTATGAAGATTTCCCTATTTTGTATCTGTTTTATTATTATATTAAAGGTGGGGTAGGTAAGTTTGAGAAAGCAGCTCGGTGGCTAGAATTTGAAAATACACAACCGGAACAAATCTGCCACTTCCTCACAGAGCCCCTCCTCCAACACACACGAACGCGCACATGACCAATGAGGGCACGAGATCAGTTTGTGCCCAGATGGAAGGCTGACAGGCAGGTAGGCCATCCAGTTACTTTAGCCGGCTCAGATGATTGGTCGTGTTTTTTACAGCGCCACGGCTTCCACTGATGACTTTGATTTGTTGTCAAAGCACTTCAGATATTCATTGCTATCGGGATGTTAAGAGCATTCCATGGAATATAACAAAAAGTGTATCTCGAGCCGGTTTCTCCAACTTACCTACCCCACCTTTAAAGTGAATATCTTTGGGTGTTGGACTGACAAACAAGACTTGGACAACTTTGACTTTTCTGGACGTTTCATAAACCATTAATGAATCTATAAACTAAGACATTTTAACATCTTGCTGTTTCAATAATGTGTTTTTACACCTTCTCATTGCAGGGTCCACCTGGCAGATCAGGCCCCCCTGGAAGAATTGGACCATCGACACCAGTACGTTTTAATAGATTTAATGTGGCATATATATCACAACATTTGACATAGAAACTTTGCAACTTTGTTTTCTATGTTTGATATGATATGAAGTTTGAACCTATAGTTACATCCAACCAGTTAATGTGCATGCTCCGTTATGAAAGCCTCTACCACTGGATGGCAGCGAAAGCAAGACAAAGCTGCTCTAATGTATCTAAAAACATCTACCCCAAAGTGCCATGAAATTATAATTAAGTATTATTTTTTTACCTCCTTACGTCCTGACCATAAGCCCCAAATATTCATTCAATTTTAAATAATTGTAACCCCAGTTAAATCCAGTTGTTTCACGTAATGCCAGTGTTGTTATGATTTTAAAAAACTATTAATTTGTTTCTGTATGTTAGAGGGATCTTTTTACACAGTGATATGTCGATGGTAGGAACAACACTCATTAAATGCAGGAAACCAGCAAAGCAGCCTGTATTCCCTACACACTTAATGTAAATAATATCCTGCTATACATTGTGTTAACTGAAAATCGGCCCGTTAATAGTGTTTTATTTGTCTGAGTTTTATAGATTTTTTATCTTCACGTCAACGTGTATATTTTCTACTATATTTTCTATTTTGAGATGTTTTAAATGTCATAATTTGCTCCATGGGGCAACCACATATTGGTTCTATGTGGTTGGAAATAAGTATGATTTGGAAACTAGTAATTGTGGTTTTAATGGGGACATTTTTTACCTTAAGTGTCTTAGGTTGCGTTCCGATCATCCAAAAATCAGCTCCTATCTCCTATTCTTTGACCTCTGAGTGAAAGGTCACGGGGTTAAGGGATAGTGGATAGGAGAATTCAAAAGGATTTAGGAGAAGAGACCGTGGTACTTTAGAGAATCGACTGCACTTCACTATCCGACGTGTTTCTGATGCTCCAGCGGACGTCCTGAATGTGCGTCTGCTGCTGTGGGGAAACTATGGAGACTACAGTTCTCTATACAGCGGACTACAACATGGATGTTCAATAAGAACGAGGGACTCCTGTGAACTCATCTAGAGACTCTGTGCTCTGACGCTGTTGCTTTATGCTTTATGAACGTGGACAACAGAGAAACAGATTCTTCAGGACCAAAGCTGGAATTGAAATAAAAAGGAAAGTGAAACTTCTGCTCGTCCCCCTCTCCCTCCGGTCCACATGAATACAAATGATCCCAATACGTATGATTGATGGAAAGTTAAATCAATACAGATGTATTTATTATAAACGTTAGTCCTTAACATCTATCTCTGTGTATATCACCATTCAAACATCTTTTAAAAGCTGAACAAACCCCACACAGCTCAGTAAAGACTGTGAGATGTTGACTTTATTTGATCATTTCAGTAAAAACTAACGTTCATATTTCTCTCTTTGATTATAATACTGATGAACGTTCAAAACAAAGCACTTTGGCAACTTACCACATACGTTTTAAAATGCTTAATAAGCACCGTAACTTTCATGATATCATTTCTCCCATTATCGTTTGTATCCGTGAACGGCCGACTGTTGTGTGACGGCAAATGCTGCGGCTGCAATGCATTGTGGGGCAGCATTTTCTCCTCTCCTTTCGGTTAGGGAGGTCCAGTGGTTCCTAAGCTAAAGGAGGTTATAAAGGAAGTTTGAAACCTCCTTTCCTTTCATTTGGAGAATTGGAACGGCACTTATCATGGCTGCCACTGAGGGGCTTCCGGGTCATTTCACTCCGTTAGGAAGGTTCCTAAGCTAAACGGACTATTGGAATGCAACCTTAGTATCTATATTCAGCCGGATCTCCCTCCCACCTGACATTCGGAATATTGAGGCTCAATTCCAAACCACGCCCTACACACTACCCTTACACCCTACCCCTCCGTTTGCACGTTCGCGCGGAGGGTCCGCCACATTAAGTGCTGTTCCAAACCAACGAGTGTGGAGGGGAGTGGGTTATCAGTCTGCATCCCCTCACCCTGCTGCACTACCTGACCGGTCTCAACGCTGTGTGTGTCCGTCAGGAAACAAGCTGTTTACAAACCGTTCCAGTAAACATCCACTGATAAATTGCGATGTGAACAACCTCATGATGACCTTAGGATCGTATACCTGTGTTTAGTCATACCTATGCATTTTATTATAAAGTTGTGTATATTTACAGACTGTTGTTGTATTATCATTATTATTATTATAACAGCTGATTTTAAACTTCCAAATTAAAATACCTAATGCATTAACACAGCCTAAAGGAGTGCATTAAACACGAAATGACACATTGTGCATGAAACAGCTTAGACAAAACAAACACAACTTCAAAACCTGATCATGTTTTATATTTGTGTTAAAACATTAATTTGACTCATTTCACGTGTCTTTCAGGGTTTGCCCGGCAACAGAGGAGAGGGTGGAAAGAGTGGAAACCCTGGAGCAAAGGTGTAATAAACTATTTAGTAACTCTAACACAGTGTAATGCCTCCATCCATGTGAAGGAGTTCCCTTTACAGCAGTGCTTCTCAAAGTGTGGTCCGCGGACTACTGGTGGTCCGTGAGCGCCCCCTAGTGGTCCGTGAGTATATGTAAAGTTTGAGAAACACTGCTTTACACATTATGTTTCTCTGCTGTGTGTTTCAGGGCAGTCACGGTGGGACGGGGAGGCCCGGTGTTCACGGCTTCAGAGGAGACATGGTGGGTGTTTAATCTGGTTGAGTGTATTTATAATAGTCTATTTAATATAATAGAATATTTTTAGAATATTTTATGAATTGTAAGGTGTCCTTGGGTGCTTTGAAAGGCGCCTCTAAATAGAATGAATTATTATTATTATTAATTATTTAATTATGTGTGACCAATGTCTCCTTCTGTCCTCCTCAGGGCGTTAGAGGTCATAAAGGGGCAAATGGAGAGCCTGGTACGAGAGGAAAAATGGTAAAATATATATATATTTTAACTCTCAGCCTTTGAAATGTAATCATTCAGTGTTATTATTATTATTATTTTTGTAATACTCTTTTTATTGTCATTTTTGTAAACATTCAGACATAAGATATACATACATACAACATACACCCGCATACGTGCTCAAATGTGTGCCGAATAGTTACCGCGCATATAGCATACATCTCTCCATGGGGGGCAATAATCTCACTTTAATTATGTAGCAAGATATCTGTGTTTATCTCAGCTTACATACCAAGTCCTTAAATAAAAGCACAGAGAGAACATTAATAAAAATAAGAGGTGTGGCCTCATTGCAATGAGAAACATCGAATAGAAGAAAAAAAAGAAAAGTCATTATTTTAGGTGTGTGTGTGTGTGTGTGTGTGTGTGTGTGTGTGTGTGTGTGTGTGTGTGTGTGTGTGTGTGTGTGTGTGTGTGTGTGTGTGTGTGTGTGTGTGTGTGTGTGTGTGTGTGTGTGTGTGTGTGTGTGTGTGTGTGTGTGTGTGTGTGTGTTTTAGGGGACGTTGGGGAAGAGGGGGTTCGTTGGCTCTGCAGGAGCTAAAGGGTCATCTGGAGCTGCTGGTCCTCCAGGTGGGCCGGGGTCTAAAGGAGTTCAGGGGCTGAAGGTGAGGGGGAAGCAGTTATATGGTTTTATTGAAAATATATAATCTAATAAATAACATTTGTATTTAATGGAGATAATGTGTTCATTAGGGGAAAAGAGCCCAGGCTGGAAGGAAAGGAAACAGAGGAGCTGCTGGGAAAAAAGTGAGCAAAGTTTTGAATGAGTTGCTTTAATGATTAATAAAATGTTCTAATTATTAATATATTTATTTAATGATTTTGAGAAAAAAGTCAGAATTTTAAGATTTTTGAAAAAAACTGATTTCCAGAAAAAGTAAGAATTCTAAAATGTTGAGAAAAAAAGTCAGAATTCAGATTTTTTTAGAAACAAGTCAGAATTAAGAAATGTTGAGAAAGAGTCAGAATTTAGTTTTCAGGAAAAGTATGAAAAAAAAATGTCCAAAGTCAGAATTTTCAGACAAAAAGTCAGAATTTTAAGATTTTCTGAAAAAGTCAGAATTCAGGAATGTTGAGCAAAAAAGTCTGAATTCCGAAAAAAAAATTCAAAGTCAGAATTTTAAGTTTTTCAGAAAAAAGTATGATTTTATTTATTCTTCACCTTTTTAAGAAATGATCTTAATCCAAACAATCCTGATCACTAATGTCTGATATATAAATGTTTAATCAAAATCTGTATTAAGTTACAGCGTCTTAACAGAGGCAGTAATGCATCCAATGAATTCTGTCCTTCAGGGGGGTGAAGGTCCACGAGGAAGACCAGGTTCTGCTGGAGCGCCTGGAAAACCCGCAAGTATCCCTTTTGACGAATACAATAAACTCATCCCTGAATCTATTGATTACCTGAAAAATCTGCTCATTTCAACGGACACAATGACACGTTGATAACCCAAAACACACTCTTTACCCGTACACAAACCAAAAAGTTCATTTATCTTTAAGTTTATTCAACAGGATTGCTGATAGATTGCACTTTTATCCAGTTATTTCAAATCATGCTCATCAGTGTGTACAAGAGGGGCAACAAGTGTAAAATAAAAATAATTCAGAATTACTGTCAGCTTCTGTTTATGACCTGCCAAATTAAAATATTAATTTATCTATGAAGGCTTTTTTGTTTGTGTTTAAAAACATTCATTGTTTTGTTTAGTAGAAGAAATACAGTAAGCCATGTACAAAATAATGTTTCTTTTTATTATTGAGACTTATTATTAATTTAATTAATTAAAAAAAAATATATTCAACACACATTAATAATCACATTCTGATGCTTTGGGCTGTAATGATATAGTAGATCCAAAAGCAGTACAAACAGGGAGGAGCAAGCGAAGTGGAACAAAAGGAAAAATAACTAACAAACCGGGAATATACTCAGAATTTAGAGATTTTCAGAAAAAAACTAACAGAAAAAGTCATAATTCTGAGAATTTGAGAAAAATATGATTTTTTTTTCCAAAATCATAATTTTAAGATTTTCAGAAAAAAGTGTGATTTTCGGAAACTAATCTGAATTTTAAGATTTTCAGAAAAAAAGTCAGACTTTTGTGATGTTTGAAAAAAGTCCGGATTTTAAGATTTTCAGAAAACAAAACGCGAGCATGAATTAAAAGCTGGTACAACACAAACAAATGGCAGGGGCAGGCGAGGAGGAACAAAAGGAAAAATAACAATCAAAACAAGAACAAACCGGGACTATAATCAGAATTTAGAGATCTTCAAAAAAAAGTCATGATTTTGAGATTTTGAGAAAAAAGTCAGAACTCTGAGATTTTGAGAAAAAAGTCAGACTGTTAAGATTTTTGAAAAAAACGGTTTTTATTCAAAACATTAGAGAAAAAAAGTCAGGATTCTGAAATGTTAAGAAAAAGTCAGGATTGAAAATTCTGAAAAAGTATGATTTTTTTATTTTCAAAGTCAGAATATTAAGATTTTCAGAAAAAAGTATGATTTTCAGAAAAAAATCTGAATTTTAAGATTTTCTGAAAAGAATAACACACAAAACAAGAACAAACCAGGAACACTCTGATCAGGGAAATCCAGACGCAAACCACAGGAAAAACGACGAACTCACAGAAAGGGAAAGCAAGGTTGCCGTCAAAATGGAAATTAGAAACCTTCCTCACAGAATGAAATGACCCGGAAGTCCCTCAGTGTCAGCCATGATGAGAGCTGTTAGAATTATCTCGATGATAGGAAAGGAGCTTTGAAACTTCCTTTATAACCTCCTTTAGCTTAGGAACCACTGGACCTTCCTTTACGAAAGGAAAGGAGTGGAGGGTGAGGGTGACAACCATAAGTTTCACTTCTCTTTTTTATTTCAATTCCAACCTTGGTCATGTTTCTCTGTTGTCCACGTTCATAAAACAACACCATCAGAGCACGGTGCAAAGTATCTCGATGCACTTAAAGTAGTCTTATTAAACATCCATGTAGTCCGCTGAATACAAAACTGTTTCCCCCCAGCAGACGCACATTTGTGACTTCATAAATACGTCGGATAGTGAAAGTGCAGTCGATTCTCAAAGCAAAGTCTCTTCTCCTAAGTCCTTTTGAATTCTCCTATCCACTATGCCTTAACCCCGTGACGTTTCCCTCAGAAGTCAAGGAATAGTGGATAGGAAAAGACGATAGGAGATGATTTTTGGACAATTCGACAGCAACCCAAGACAGAAGGGTAATCACAAGAAACAGCTGGAGAGGGGAGGCGACAGGAAGCAAATACAGACATGAGACAAGGGGTGAATGACTTTCAAAGTAAAACAGGAACCCGACAGACTGTGACAATCCCAAATGACACAGAAAATAAACAGATAGTGACATAGAGTTGTATTCAAGCTCACAAAGAACCGAAAGAGAGGAATGTCTTGACGATTATTTCCTTGTCTTGTGATCTTGTTTTCAGGGCCTCAGTGGTCTGGATGGGTTACTCGGGGTTGAAGGAAATCCTGGAGATCCAGTAGGTTAAAACAGTCCTTACTATAATACATGTAGTCGTTATATTGTTCATCTTTTTACTAAATTATGATCTGTTCGTCCCCAAAGGGTGATGTAGGTTTCAGAGGAGCTCCTGCGAAACCTGGCAGCACTGGCAAAATGGTAAGCTCCAAAACACACATGGATGACGTGCATAACTTCACCATAAAACCATATTTTGTGACATTAAATACATCTAAAATGTGTTTAATGTTGTAGGGAAACCCTGGATCTCCTGGGGTCAGAGGAAGCAGTGGAGCACCAGGGTTTAAGGTACAACATTATTGCCTTTATTCATTTTTTTATAATGAATTGAAATATTCAAAATGTACTGTATATTCACTGTGGACATGTGTATATAGTTTGATGTACCCCTGGTGTGCAATAACACTGCCTAACCATCAAGTAACTAAGTACTTATTTGACTTTATTAACGTGTGATTGTCCCTCAATATAATGTGTTAGATAGATAGATGGATGGATGGATGGATGGATGGATGGATGGATGGATAGATAGATAGAGAGATAGACAGAGAGATAGGTAGATAGATGGATAGATAGATAGATAGATAGATAGACAGAGAGATAGGTAGATAGATGGATAGATAGATAGATAGATAGATAGATAGATAGATAGATAGACAGAGAGAGAGAGAGAGAGAGATAGATAGACAGGTAGGTAGATGGATAGATAGAAAGGGAAATGTTGCAGCAGCATAAAAAACAAGGCAATTAAGAAATTAGAGAAATTAAGACACAAGAAATCAATTAAAAAAAATATAGATGTGGAAAATATTCATGTGGAAAAACACTTTTCCAGTAACAAATATAATGCAGGATATTATTGTGCAATTATTGTTAACCTACGTATTGCATATTGCCTTTTAATCTGCTCTATAATGAAATGTCCTACTGATGTCCTGTTCTGTGTTTCAGGGTAAATCTGGATTAAAAGGAAAACAAGGACCACCTGGACCAATGGGGCCAAAGGTATAGAAAGCAGAATAATAATTTTAAAACAACATCCATAAAATACTTAACATAACATCTGTAAATATCTGTATGATCTGTACAGGGTCTTCCAGGACTGAGAGGAGAGAAGGGAGAGTCTTCAATCTCTGGTCTGAAGGTAAAGTCCAACATTAATGCCACTTTCCCACCAAAGCGCTTACAGGGCCAGTTCGGAGCTAGTGCCCAATTCCCCACCAGTTCTTCCTGTTTCCACCGCAGAGGGCTCTTTGCCCCCGAACACCGATTCTTATCTGGCTCCACTCGACTGCCCGTCCAGAAACCAAGAACCAAATATGTCACGCTTACTTAAACGCTGATGTCAGAACGCAGCACCAGTTGGGCTCTGGGCGGTGGGAACACAACTGGGGCTAAAAAGAAGACCCGGTTCAGAACCAGAAAAGCACGGAGCTAGAACTGGAACTAGTTTACCTTTTAAGAAATGATCTTAATCCAAACAATCCTGATCACTATTTTCTGGTAAATAAATCTTTAATTAAAATCTGTATTAAGTCGCAGAGTCTTAACCGGGGCAATAATGCATCTGATTTCAATTCGGAGCTAGTGTCTGATTAAGTACCGGTTCTTCCTGTTTCCACCGCAGTGAGGCCAGTTCTTGACTCCCGAAAACCAGTTATTATTTGCTCGTCCAGAAACTAAGAACCATATATGTCACGCTAACTTTAACGGTGATGTAATGATGAAGCACAAGTTGGGCTCTGAGCGGTGGAAACACATCTGGGGCTAAATAGAAGAACCGGTCCAGAACCAGAAAAGCACGGAGCTAGAACTGGAACTGGTTTGGTGGGAAAGGGGTATAAATGTACTGCATTACGGGGTTTATTGGGGAAAATATGTTTTATTTATCATTAAGATGGTTTATGTTTTCATTTCCAATGATATACTTGACTCGTTGTTGTAAGAATATACTAATGGGAAACGATTTTACGATAAGCTCTGATCGGCTTGCAAAAATCAGACACAATTACACTGTTGATAATTGTTTGTTGACAACTTTATTTACAGGGTCTCCCAGGTGAAATGGGAATATTTGGACTAGTCGGGCCATCTGGGCTAAAGGTTGGTTGAAATATTTGAAGATTAGAGTAATTTACATTCCAAAAAATGCAAAATGTCTCCTGCTTTACCACATTGTTACCTTCCAGGGGAATCCTGGTCTGCAGGGGCTGAAGGGTCGAACAGGCCTTAAAGGAAAGCAGGTGAGTGGATTTTACTTCCCTTTTAAATGTTTTTAGCAGTAATTTAATAATGAACGTACTTATTTTCACAGGGAGAGGCCGGTCCTCGGGGTCCACACGGGCGTAAAGGCATCCTCGGACTCGCTGTACGTTGCTTTGATATTCTGCTCTTTGATAAAGTTATGAAACACTTCACTAAAGTAATTTCTGTTTTTTCTTACAGGGCCAGCTTGGGAAGAAGGTGAGACTTTGTAATGCCTCCATGCAAGCGTGATTTTAGGAAACGCACTGATTAACAAGACCTACAAAGTCATTTGGGTAAAAAAGTCAGAATTCTGATATTTTCAGAATTTAGAACATTTCAGAAAAATGTCAGAATTATAGGAAAAAGTCCTAATTTTGAAATGTTCAGAAAAAAATCTGATTTTTTGAAAAATTTCAGAATTTTGAGATTTCCAAGAAAAAGTCAGAATTTTCACAGAAAAGTCTGATATTCTGAGAATTCTGAGATTTTGGGCCGAAAATCTGAATTCTGATTTTTTGAGAAAAAAAGTCAACATTTTGGGAAAAAGTCAGAAAAACTCGGCATTTTCTTAAAAGTCAGAATTTTGAGATTTTCAGAAAGAAATCTGTATTTTAGGAAAAAGTATTTAAAAAAAATATATATAAACAGCAAACTGACAATGCTGTAATTTATGTTTTTTGACTATGAAGGTTAAATGTGTTCTTTGGCCGGATCTCGTGTCCTGCATCCTGATTTCACTGTTTTCAAATGTGCTTTTGCAACAAAGAATTGTTTTTGAAAGCTCATGCCTGAAATTATTCCAGTCTTTCATTATTTGCAGTTACCATGTGTGTGAATAGTGAGATTTGTTGAAATGCATTAGTCGTATCGAGACAGAGTCTGACTGTGTTTACAGGGAATGAAAGGAGTCGAAGGAGGGAGAGGACCAAAGGGAGTGAGAGGCAAGCCAGGACCTCCAGTAAGACATTCACTCAGTTAAAACAAAAGAAAGTTAACTGTAACATACTGTGAAGTTTGAAGAGGCATTTCAATTGTAATGTATTGCCATGAGTTTCTCCCCTTTTTCCTCACAGGGGAAGCCAGGAGCACCGGGCATCAAACGCAGGCCTTCACAAAGACGGGGATCAAAGCCTGAACTCAGACCGCTTCGTCAGAGACCCAAAACAGCACGCATTAAAAGATTCAAACCTGAAAACATGCCGCGGTTCAGACTAACACCGGCCCTCCTGAAGGTACACAGATCGTGGGTTCAAGTGTCCCTCTCAGATAAACTTTATCTACACCATGTCCCTGATTTGTTTTGTGTCACGGCTTCTGTCCACATAATGCGTAGCAGTTCAGTCAGACAACTCACGTGTTTCTTGATATGTTAGAACAATCTCCCTGTTCCCCGGCTTGAGCTTGAACCTCAGGATCCATGTATCTGTGATCCTCTCCAGAATGGAAGGAGTCATCACATACAGAGCATCAACTAGTTCCTGAACAGTGTCCTTCACATGCTGATATCCAAGAGAGGGAGTTACACAGTCACAAGATGGAGGAATAGAAAGCAGTATTCAATGTTTACTTCAGATTAGCTCCACGTCAGAAATGAGCATGCTTGATGTCTCTCTCCATAGAGGCTGAATCATCATGTTAATCACAGAGCTATCATCTGCCTCAAACAGTCCTGATGCTCTTCTGGGTAATCACACATCCTGTCATGTTCACAGCTACAGTTGATACCTTTGTTAGCATGCTGCTCTCATACTGGAAGAGGACATTCAGGATTGTCTCAACAGTTTACATTTGTTATAGTTTTTAATAAGTGTAAGTGTTCCCTTCACATCTTCCCTTGACCCCATTAACCCCAGGGGTCCAGGAGATGGTCTGAGGAGGAAGAGGAGGAGGAAGAGGAGGAGGAGGATTCGTTCAGCTGGCCTCAGGGAACCAAAGAGGATCCTGCCACCTCCTGCTACGAGCTGGGACTCATACACCCTCACCTGAGCGATGGTGAGCCTCTGAATACACTGCACTGTTTACTGAATGCTTCTGAATGGTGGGGCACTAAAGTGGATCATCTCTCAGGCTTCTTTTACATGGACCCCAACCAAGGCTGTCCGCACGACTCTGTGAGGGTTTTCTGTAACTTCACAGCAGGAGGAGCGACCTGCATCGAGCCTCTACCCTCACAGGTACACTCACTTACTCCTACATTCACATGTATCATTATTATAACTTGTAGTGGCGATGTTGTCCCTAAACTACAAATATCCAATCAAAGAAACTGCACAAAATCAAACTGCAGCTAAGGCACCAGGTAGCCAATTGTAATTGTTAATCTCCTGTTCTTTAGATCAAACTAAGTTGGAAACCAAAGAAGAAGAATGCACCTGTCCAATGGTTCAGTCAGCAGCACGCTGGGAACAAGGTAACACATTTTTAATTAATGGAGAAACTTTTGATGAATCTGAAAACTGACTCCTGTGTGTCTCTACAGTTTGAGTACTCCGGCCTGGATGTGGTCCAGCTGAGGTTCCTGCGGCTGCACAGCCTCTCGTCCTCACAGCTCCTGACGCTCCGCTGCTCAGAGAACAGCTCCAGATCTGCAGGAGACACATCGTCAGCTGATCACCTGGTGGGAGACACACCGTCAGCTGATCACCTGGTGGGAGACACACCGTCAGCTGATCACCTGGTGGGAGACTCCGGCACAGAAATCCCTTC